GTTTAGAGGCCGATGCGAAGCGCTCGCCGAAGGTGTTGAGTTCGTGGGAGGCCTCGCTGTATTCATCGCCTGATGAGAGGATCTCGACGTCAACGACGTCACCTGGTACTTCGGCGGCTGTGGCAGCGGCGCCTTCGGTGTGGCCCCCTCCTTCCGCCGCCGCCGTGCCAAGCCAGGGGTCGTGGCCACCTGGTCCTGGGGCGGCCGTCGGTTCAGCGGCTCCGTCCGTGCCGTGAGGGGGCGCAGAAGAGCTGCGGCCTGGGGCGCGGGGTGGCCTTGCGGGCGGCGTGGCGTCACGTTTCCCGCTGGAGGAGCGGTGGCGCTTGGCTAAAGGCTCCTCCTTGGGGGTCAGGAGCGGTGCGACGCCCTTGCCTTTGGGCGTGGCAGTCATGAGGTCGTGGAGGTAGGGGCTCTGGGCCGCTTTGGTGAGGAGTGTGCCGGTGGCGGGGCTGAAGCCGCCACCACCGGCTGGCGGCGTCGCAGGCTCTGTGATGGTGGTAGGCGTGACGATGGTAACGTTGTCCCGCTTCGGCGCCACCTCAGCCAGCGGGGCCTCGGCGATGCTCCACGGGATGGAGCACCCCGCGACCTGCACCGTATAGGTGAGTGGGGGCCGATGGGCGCGCACTAGGGCAAACTGGGCCGCAGTGGCTGGGTCCCAGGCGGTGTGGTAGACCTCACAGTCCCATTTGACGGACGGGCCCGTGAGAGTCTTGGCGAGCTGGGTCAGCGTGGCGTGGCGTGACGCAATGCCAGTGATGCGGTAGCGCGTCTTGGCGAGGGTGGCCTCGCAGCCGCGGATGCTGACAGCAGCGGCCTTGGCGACGTCAGACCCCCGCGGAACACGGATCCCCAGCAGGCCTGACTTGCCGTGCCTGACGACTCCCAGGGCCTTGAGCTCCACCGACTTCTGGAACGCGTCTGCCATCGTGATGGGCTGGTCCTCAGGGAACCACACGGTCTGATACTTGTCGGCGGTGGGCTCGTCTGCACCTACGTTGCTGAGGTCGTAGGTGGCACCGAGTTGCCCTGATCCCGCCAGGACCTTGTCGACCGCTTGGAGACTGACGCCGAAGGTGGCAGCCAGGGACCTCTTTCCGACGCCCGATCCAAACCTGCCTAGGCTTTTGCAGGGTTCGAGGATGGTGACGGCTTTAAAGTTGCCGTGGAAGAGGGCCTTGAAGGTGTCCTGGAGCTGGCCATCGAGCTCCTGGCGGCGAGCGTCTTTCTTGGACTCCTTGTGCTTTTGGCGCGCCTTGTCCTGTGGAGCGGAGTCGCCTCGAAAAGGGCCCTTGGCGCGTGGACCACCGTTCACGGGGGCACCTCCCGAGAACTGGTCCTCGAAGGCCTGGTGCATGGAGGGGACTGCGGCAATGGCCTCGGTCTCGTGTATGGTCGCCCGAATCCAGCAGACGTGGTCGGCAGGGTCGATGGTGGCGACGGCTACCTTTTCCGTGCAGGCGACTTCCTTGGTGCCCAGCTGGTACACGATCACGGGGACGTGCGTGTGGACCACTTTGGGCGCCTTGGGGTGGCGCTTCAGGACGGGGACGGCGAGCTCGGTACCGACGTAGTTGTCGTTTTTCGGGCCCATGACAGCAATCGCGAGCTGGCCCGTGGCTCGCTTGCCCTGCCCGAGGTGGTGTTGCAGCAGCCGTTCGCCACTCTCGAAGTCGTGGAGGCTGATGCTGGGCTTGTACGTCTTGCCGTCGTCAGGCGAGGTGGGTTCGGCAAGAACAGGGACCTTCCAAAAGGCAGGGTCCAAGGCGATGAATTGGGTGTCCGCAGCCTGAAGACGTGCGGAGCCCGCTGGTGGGTGCGATGTGTCACCGCCAGTGCGCTTAGGCTTGCTGCGCTGGTAGTGGTCGAGCGTGTAGCTGATCTGGTTGGCGGCGCACATGCGGATAAGGGCGCTGCCAAGCTTCTTCGTGTTGGACTTGTGCATGTCGTACTTTGCCTGGAGCTCGTCCGCGTTCATTTCGGCTAGCCCGTTATAGGCGGCCGTGGGGCGGTCAGACCCCGCTTGCCTGAACGCTGCGATGCAGTCCTGCTTGCGTTGAAGGAGGGACCCTTCAGCAGCAGGGCGCGTGGGACGGGAGCTCGGAGGCTGCTTTGAAGAGTGACGGCGCTCCGGCTTCTTGGGGGCCATTGCTGCGGGCACTCTGGTGCGGAGAGGTGACGCGAATCAGTAGGGCCCTGCTGGGACCCCTCCGGTCTCGCGAGGCCTGGGAGTCTGACTCCGAGGCGGGGCGCTTCGCGTCGTAGCTGCGGTCTGAGTGCAGAGCACTCTCGAGCCGAGACTAGAGAAAGAGAGAGAGAGAGAGAGAGAGATAGAGAGAGAGAGAGAGAGCGAAAGAGAGAAGAGAGAGAGAGAGAGAGAGAGAGAGAGAGAGCGAGAAAGGGAGAAAGAGAAAACGAGAGACAGAGAGAGAGAGAGAGAGACAGGGAGAGCCATAATCTGTGGAGTAGTTAGTGGAGAGGAGGACCAGGTAGGAAGATCAGGCAAGAGGGGGAGGAGGAGGAGGATGAGGAGGAGGAGGATGATGAGGGGGAGGCGGGCAAGGAGAAGGAGGAAAAGGATGGGAGGGACACGTGCGACGGCAACGACGACGAGGAGTCAGCCATGAAGATCTTAGCGCATCTTTCGCTCTGTGATCTTCTTGGAGTCCTCTTGCTTGGAGCCACTCGGAGGTCCTCTGAGGTGCTCTTGGGGCTTAGTTGTGGTCCTCCTGGGTGCCTTTGGAGCCATCTGGGGCCATCGTGGAGGACATCGATCAGGAGGATGAGGACGAGGATGATGCGGAGGAGAGGATGAGAAGAATAAGAAGGAGGAGGAGGATGAGGAGGATGAGCAGGAGGAGGAGTGGTGGGAGGAGGGATGGTGGGACGATTATGTTGATGATGGTGTGTTGGTAGTGGTGATGACGATGATGCTGCTGATGATGCTGCTGCTGATGATGATGATGATGTGGTGGTGGCTCGCCATGAAGGCATGTTAGAAGATGTCCTCGTCGGAGGCCTCCGAGACATTGTCGGGGCCCCCGCCGCCGCCCGACTGGCCGGGCTCCTCGACTCGGTCCCAGGCGGCGGCGCGCAGCCCAAAGGCCGACAGGACAGCAGCCCGCGTGGGCAGAGAGAACGGCCCTCCCGCGGCAGCCCCACCCGAGGCGGGGCCCGAGCCTGCGGAGGGCAGCAGCGGCGAGCCCTCGAGCTCCGCCCTCTCCCCAGCACCCAGGGGCACTGACCGGCTGAGCACGAGGGCCCGTGAGGCGCGCCGGTAGTGGGGGTGCTTCCCCCGCTGGGTGCGCCTCAGAGAGGGGCCTGACCTTCGGGTCCGCTGGCTTCCGCTCGCACCGCGACGGCACCAGACCGCCAGGCTTCCCCGAGGTGTAGCCTCCACACCTGAAACAGAACGAAATCTTGCCCGAATCCGCGGACGGCCCCTCGACGTGGCACTTGAGCAGGCCATGCCCGCGGAAGTAAAGGCATTCAGGGCATCGTCGGCCCACAGGTCACCGGCCCCGTCCAACCCGCCCACCTCCACGACGACATCAGACGACGGCCCCCCTTCTCCATCACTGTCGGGGGGGGCGGCAGCTCCGAGGGACCGTGCTCCTCGGCGGCAGCGCCTACCGTGTCGCCCCTGCCGCCCTGCTGGGCAAGTAAGACCTCGAGCCTGCCCGCCCCCCTCCCCTGCTCTTGACAAAAGGCCTTGGACCCTCTGATCAAGCAGGCGTGGTCTTCCGTGAGACCATGCACTAAGGCTCCTGCTTTGGCAAAGCGGTTCGCGGCCTGGTTGGCACGAAGTTCCCACCAGGTCGTCTTGCCAGACTCTACGTCGGCACTGCCCGCTTGGGCCAGCGTTTTGAAAGCTTCAAAATCTTCACTGGAAAACGCAGCCCAAAAAGGCGCCCACATGTGTCCTCTTGGGGCCCAAGCCTCGGTCCCCGTGCCTGGGGCCCCCGCAGAGAACATTGAGCGTCGACTGACAATCAAGATAAAGTTGGAACGGCCCCCTGCCTACATGCGCCAGGATGTGGATCGCGAAATCTTCGCCATCCTTGGCAGTCTGGCGGGGGCCGAACGACAGGGGGACAGGGCCATGCGCTGCGTGCAACACATTGCCAAGCCTGTCAACTTGCACCAGCGCTTAGCCCGCCCGACTGACTCCTTCGATCGACGGCCGCACGGCCGATCCGTCGCTGAAGATGCATCCTGCCAGAAAGCCGCACGCAGGCCTGCTCACCCACCTGACAGCCTCATCGGGGTCTTCGCGGGGCACAAGCACCAGGGGACCAGGGAGCATACAGTCGGGGCCCTGAAGAAGGAACCCTTTTCGTTGGGGAGGGGCTCCGCATCCCTTAAATGTTTCACAGCTTGCCTCAGGCTTCCCTTATGTTTTCGACAGGAAATCGAAGGTTCACTAATGGAACAAAGGGGCCTCGTTCCTTATTTAGGGTTCCTTAGGTCAACGCCCCGACGGTACACCTGGCGAAGCGCTCCCCCGCCTCGACCCCCTGCTCGAGGGCTCTGGCAGCGCGCTCTCTCGGCCACGGCGAGGCGCCATCCCCCCTGAGGCCTGCGTGCGCCACGCGCTCGTGCTGCCCGTGCCAGGGCGTGCCGCAGCAAAGCCCGACATTAACCGGCACAACGGGCGACGCGTGCAGCCCTTGTCCGTGCACCCCTGCTTGCGTCCAGTCTGTCTGGTTTTTGTCCTTCAATGTCAACCGTGGCGTTCGCACGCTGAAGGAGCAGGTCCAGGCTTCAAATGCCACGGTCTTTGTTGGCCAGGAAATCGGTTTAACGGACCGAGAAGCTGATGTGGGGCGTGGGCTGGTCGCCGTGGTTGGACATATTTGGCAGCAAGTCTTTTATACTTGCTACCAGCAGTGATGCGAGGAATCGTTTTTGTTGTGCCCTGCCTTACCACACTGCTGTATGCAGGGTGCCGCCATGGGCCATGATGCTGCTGTTGCATTCGCATCTGTACGTGCACCGACATGGAGTGCTTTTATGTCTCTGCAGTGGCAGGCGCCGCAGCAGAGCGCGTCGTGCGGAGACTTGTTTGCTGTCCGTTCTCTATCGTCTCCCCGCGAGTGTCGAGTGGGGAAGGGGAAGGGGGGGGGGCGGGGAGGCGGGGCAAGAGAAAGGATATCCCATCGAATGGCCCTTCCTTTTATCTTGATCAGCATGCCGGGCAATGCACATAAGCACGCCCCTCCAGTAACGAGCTGTCCCCCCCGTTCCAGGGCGTTCCGAAACGCTCTCAGAGCGTTCGGAACGCTCCGAGAAGGCCGCCGCGCCCGAGACGTCCTCCAGAGCCGCGGGATCTCAGAGATTCTCGCTGTCTCCTCACCCGAAGTTGCCCTCGTCCTGGCTTCGTCTTACGTCGTGACTGTTTCGAAACCCGAGGGGGCCTGGGTTCAGCCACGCGCAGAGGGGGATGGGGGCAGGGGGGAGGGCTTCTTAGAAGCACCCCTGCTCCTTAGAAGGCGCGGGCCTCATCTATAGATGTAAGGCCGGCGCCTGCCAAGGCGACGCCAAATTTCTAAACCCGAGAGGGCCTGGGCCTCCGAGCCAGCCGGGCCTGTCCCTCTGCAGGAGGCAGAGTCAAACATAGTCCAATAATAGTGCGGGACGTTTTTTTTTGTGTGTGTGTGTGTTTGTGTTCTGTTTTATTGCTTGTTTTTATATATGTATTACCTAACAGCTTTTGCTGATAGGCTTCCAGTGGTGTCAAAAGAGAGCATCTTGACGCCCCAGGGGGGGTCTGGGCGGGAACCGGACAAGGAACCGGACGGATCCGCCAGACCCAGGAGTCTTCAGGAATCCTTAGGAATTCATAGTAATCCTTAGAAATCCATTCCCAGAACACAACTCCCAGGCCACATTTTCAATGCCCGGAGCCAACTGTAGGCCACTTCGTGTTCTTCATGTTCCGAGAACACTATTCCCAGGCCACATTTTGAATGCCCGGAGCCAACTATAGGCCACTTCGTGTTCTTCGTCTTCCCAGAACACCGTTCCCAGGCCACATTTTGAATGCCCGGAGCCAACTGTAGGCCACTTCGTGTTCTTCGTCTTCCCAGAACACCGCTCCCACGCCACATGCTGAATGCCCGGAGCCAACTGTAGGCCTTTTCGTGTTCTTCGTCTTCCCAGAACACCGCTTCCAGGCCACATTTTGAATGCCCGGAGCCAATTGTAGGCCACTTCGTGTTCTTCGTGTTCCCGGAATACCATTCCTGTACCATGTTTTGAGTGAATGCCCAGAGCCAACTGTGGGCCACTTCGTGATCTTCGTGTTCCCAGAACACCAGTCCTGTGCCATATTTTGAATGCCCGAGCTGAGGCAGGCTGAGGCTGACGCAGGCTGAGGCTGAAGCTGAGGCACGCCGAGGCAGGCTGAGGCTGAGGCTGAGGCAGGCTGAGGCTGAGGCAGGCTGAGGCTAAGGCTGACGCAGGCTGAGGCCGAGGCAGGCTGAATTTGAGGCTGAGGCAGGCTGAGGCTGAGGCTGATGCAGGCTGAGGCTGAGGCAGGCTGAGGCAGGCTGAGGCTGAGGCTGAGGCTGAGGCTGATGCAGGCTGAGGCTGAGGCTGAGGCTGAGGCTGAGGCTGAGGCTGAGGCTGAGGCTGAGGCAAGCTGCGGCTGAGGCAGGCTGAGGCTGAGGCTGTGCAGAGCTGAGGCTGAGCAGGCTGAGGCTGAGGCCGAGGCAGGCTGAGGCCGAGGCAGGCTGAGGCTGAGGCTGATGCACGCCGAGGCAGGCTGAGGCTGAGGCTGAGGCAGGCTGAGGCAGGCTGAGGCTGAGGCTGACGCAGGCTGAGGCCGAGGCAGACTGAGGCTGAGGCTGAGGCAGAGGCAGGCTGAGGCTGAGGCAGGCTGAGACTAAGGCTGAGGCAGGCTGAGGCTGAGGCTGAGGCTGAGGCTGAGGCTGAGGCTGAGGCAGGCTGAGGCAGACGCTGAGGCAGGCTGATGCTGAGGCAGGGTGAGGCTGAGGCTGAGGCTGATGCAGGCTGAGGCTGAGGCAGGCTGAGGCTGAGGCTGATGCAGCTGAGGCGGAGGCTGAGGGCACGAGGCAGGCATGGAAATTTGTTAGGCCAAGCCGAGGCAGGCTGAGGCTGAGGCTGAAGCTGAGGCAGGCTGAGGCTGAGGCTGAGGCAGTGGCTGAGGCTGAGGCAAGCTGCGGCTGAGGCAGGCTGAGGCTGAGGCTGATGCAGGCTGAGGCTGAGGCAGGCTGAGGCTGAGGCTGAGGCAGGCTGAGGCTGAGGCTGAGGCTGATGCAGGCTGAGGCTGAGAGGCTGACGCTGAGGCTGAGGCAGGCTGAGGCTGAGGCTGAGGCCGAGGCAGGCTGAGGCTGAGGCTGAGGCAAACCGAGGCAGGCTGAGGCTGAGGCTGAGGCAGGCTGAGGCTGAGGCAGGCTGAGGCTGAGGCCGAGGCAGGCGAATCCTTCGGAATCCTTAGGATTCACCAGGAATCCTTTGAAATCCGTAGGAATCAGGATTCCTAAGGATTCCTAAGGATTCCGAAGGTTTCCTAAGGATCCCTATGGATTCCGAAGGATGCCTAAGGATGCCTTAAGAATCCCTAGGAATCCTTAGGATTCCACTGGATCCTAAGGCCGTTGCCACTGCGACTGTCATTGCGAATTCGACTGCGAGTGCGAGAACAGCAGAATTCTACAACTGGATTCTCACCTGAATCTTACGGGGAATGCTTCCAGATATGCTTATACACATCGCTATTAGGTTGCTTTGCTGGGATACTATATATATATATATATATGTATGTATATATATATATATATATATATATATATATATATATGTTTCCGGCGATCTTCGAATACGTTTGGGGTTTGTTTGACTTCTCGACCAAAGTCCGCCTCTGGGGGGACCTGCCCGTCCTGCGCCGCGACTGCTCCGACGCCCGGGCCTCCGAGCCGCCGAGCCTCCGAGCCTCCGAGCCTCCGAGCCTCCGCGGCTGCCGCCGCCTCCTCCTCGTCCTCCTTTCCTCCTCCGCCTCCTCCTCCTCGTCCTCCGCCTCCTCCTTTCCTCCTTTCCTCCTCCTCCTCCTCCTCCTCCTCCTCCTCCTCCTCCCGGGGAACGGGCTGCGGACGGCGTGTCTCGGGAGGCAGGAGGAGGAGGAGGGGGCGCCCGGGCCTCCGAGCCGCCGCGGCTGCCGCCGCTGGCGCCTGCGCGGCCCCGTGCGCCCCCGCGCGAGGCCAGGCGCCCTCGCCCGGCGGCCCGAGCTCGGCCGCCCTCGCCCTGGAGACAGGCGCGCCTCCCTTTGGGGGATCGGGGGGAGGAGGAGGGAGGAGGGAGGGAGGAGGGAGGAGGGAGGAGGGAGGAGGGAGGAGGGAGGAGGAGGAGGAGAAAAAGGAGGGAGGAGGGAGGAGGGAGGAGGAGGAGGAGGGAGGAGGAGGAGGGAGGAGGAGGGATGAGGAGGAGGATGAGGGAGGATCACTGTCCAAACTGCCAGGTCAGCGAGCGGGCCGCCATTGAACAGTCCCGCGAGGGCGCTAGGCGCAATGAGGAACTGCCAATGGGGGACACCCATTGCTTGGGGAAGCCCCAACTCGCAGCCTGTTAAAGGGGGTTGCTAACGAGGGCCCGCCCTGGCTAGCAGCCCCAACTCGAAAGCACTGTGCCCGGCGAGGTGGATGAGCAGAGGAAAGGGCCTGCGTTGAAAACGCCGGCTCCCTCTCGTGAAGGGACAAGTGGGGGAGGTGAGGAGGAGAGGGCCTGCGTTGAAAACGCCGGCTCCCTCTCGTGGAGGGCGGCTCCCTCTCGTGGAGGGCGGCTCCCTCTCAGGGAGAGCGGCTCCCTCTCCTGGAGGGCGGCTCCCTCTCGTGGAGGGCGGCTCCCTCTCGTGGAGGGCGGCTCCCTCTCGTGGAGGGCGGCTCCCTCTCAGGGAGAGCGGCTCCCTCTCCTGGAGGGCGGCTCCCTCTCGTGGAGGGCGGCTCCCTTCGTGGGGCGGCTCCCTCTCTTGGGGGGCGGCTCCCCTCGTGGAGGGCGGCGAGGAGGGAGGAGAGAGGAGGGAGGAGGAGGAGGGGGAGGGAAGAGGAGGGGGGGAGGAGGAGAGAGAGAGAGAGGAGGAGAGGAGGAGGAGGAGGAGGAGGAGGAGGGGAGGAGGAGGAGGAGGAGGAGGCTTCTTAGAAGCACACCTGCCTCTGAGAAGGCGTGGGCCTTGTCTGTAGGTCCAGGGCCGGCGCCTTCCAAGAAGCGGCCTCGTTCTAAGGAGCCTTTCCCCCCCTCTCCCTGCCCCCTTGTGCGCGCGCCGCCAACAGTCCCAGCTCGACTCTCTAGACCCGCTGGGGACTTCAAAAAAATTAGCCTGGCGAAGGACCCAACCATATGCAGTTGTGAATACCGCGATTGTGGATCTCATCTTCGCTCGCGCTCCCTATGGGGCCACGAACCGTGTGATGGGGGCGTGCCGAAATGCGTGGCGGGGTCCCCAATACGAACAAAGACGATCGCTCTGAGTGCGCGAGACTGAGACCGGGTGAGCCTGAGCGCGAGTAAGTCTGATTGTGAATGTGTTTGCGTGCGAATCAGTCTACGTGCATCAATGTCGACGCCCATGTCGGCACGCCCCTCACGAGGATCGCACCCGCTTCCTTTCCCTTCTTTTTCTGCCTCTTTGCCCGTGCACGCCGATGTCCATGGCTGCGGGCGCGGCGCCGCACTGAGTCCCCGCGACGCACGCTGGTCGCCCCGAAGGGGTCCCGGCGACGCGCGCGGGTCGTCCGCTGCGCGGATCAGAGAGCTGGCTGGGTGATAGCGGGCAAGACTGTGGCCGCTGGGCAGAGCGGCGCCGCCATGGGAGTGCCAAAATGGGGCGGCGCCGCCATGGGAGTTCCGCCACTGTGACCTTAGGTGGAGCTCCCTATGGCGCCACGAAACGTGTGAGGGGTGTGCCAAAATGGGGCGGCGGCGCCATGCGAGTTCCGCCACGGGGACCTTCGGTGGAGCTCCCTATGGGGCCACGACGCGTGTGAGGGGTGTGCCAAAATGGGGCGGCGGCGCCATGCGAGTTCCGCCACTGGGACCTTAGGTGGAGTGGGGCCACGAAACCAAAATGGGGCGGCGGCGCCATGCGAGTTCCGCCACGATGGGAGGTGGAGCTCCCTATGGGGCCACGAAACGTGTGAGAGGTGTGCCAAAATGGGGCGGGCGGCGCCGCCACTGCTCCCTATGGGGCCACAAACGTGTGAGGGGTGTGCCAAAATGGGGCGGCGGCGCCATGGGAGTTCCGACTGGGACCTTCGGTGGAGCTCCCTATGGGGCCACGAAGCGTGTGAGGGGTGTGCCAAAATGGGGCGGCGGCGCCATGCGAGTTCCGCACGGGGACCTCGGTGGAGCTCCCTATGGGGCCACGAAAACGTGTGAGGGGTGTGCCAAAATGGGGCGGCGGCGCCATGCGAGTTCCGCCACTGGGACCTTAGGTGGAGCTCCCCATGGGGCCACGAAGCGTGTGAGGGGTGTGCCACAATGGGGCGGCGGCGCCATGCGAGTTTCCCAACTGGAACCTTAGGTGGAGCTCCCTATGGGGCCACGAAACGTGTGAGGGGTTTGCCAAAATGGGGCGGCGGCGCCATGCGAGTTCCGCCACTGGGACCTTAGGTGGAGCTCCCTATGGGGCCACGACGCGTGTGAGGGGTGTGCCAAAATGGGGCGGCGGCGCCATGCGAGTTCCGCCACTGTGACCTTAGGTGGAGCTCCCTATGGGGCCACGAAACGTGTGAGGGGTGTGCCGAAACAGAGACATGCGGAGAGCAAAAGCCAGGATGGGGGAGGAGGGAGGAGGGGGAGGAGGAAGGAAGGAAGGAGACGCGGGGCACCGTCTCTTCAAAACGAGGACCCAACACCACAGGATGGTTGGGAAAAATCACGACCACAAGTTTTTCTACATATATTTTCGGCCTCTGGAGGCCCTCACCGAGCGTCGGGGCCGTCAAAAACGACTCGGGATGAAGAGTCGGCCCTGGGGAATGAGTCGAGGCCTGTGCCGATCAAGGAACAAACGGCACCGCCCTACCTACGGCCTGCCACGTTTCGCTACGGCCCATCGGGGGCCGTAGCGAACACCGCACGAAAGCCGAAGCCGGAGTTCATGGTATATGCCAAGGCCCGTGGGACCGTAGGTGGGGTGTTGTCGTTTGTTTTCTTGGCCCACGTGGGTCGACGTTATGAAACAAATCAAGACGTCGGGGGTCTGGGTCCCGAGGGCCCACTGGACCGGGCCAGGGGCGGCAAGCGTGCAGCAGCCGAGGGGCGCCGAAACAGCGGCGCGTCAGGGTGTTCATGAGATCCTGCAGATCGATCTGGTTCGAAAAATGACGCAGAAAGATGGGGCCCAGGGCTCAGGTCGTTATTTTTGCGATGCTGCATTTTTACCTGCAACGTCACATCTGAGGGGAGGGCGCGAACGGGCAGGAAACGCACCTGAGTCAGAGGAGGAAGAGGTATCGATACCGCTACCCTTCCATCCGCTTCGAATTGTTCGACGTCTCGGAAGGCCCTCGTCGCCGCGACTGGATTCCCCTCGAAGCTTTGCTCAGAGCGCACCCCGGGGGAGGTCTGAGGAGCAGCGGCATCCGTATAGTTCGGTCTCCCCACTGGGAAGCAGGGGGCGCACCACAGGTCACCACCCACCAAACCACCCCAACCCAACCCGAAGGCTTCAATTTGCCCTCCACTTCCAATGTGGGGGGAGGGTCGGGGAACATCGAGACACCCCCTGCCCCTCCCTCTGCCCCCCCCCCCCCCGATTCCCGGCGCTCCAACCTTTGCGAGGGGTGTGCCCGCGGACCGGCTCTTCGTCCCGAGTCGTCTCCTGGCGCGGGCCGGGGCCCCTCGAGGGCCCCCGAGGGGTTGCAGATGGCCAGGAGCTGGCTGAACCAATTCCCTCGGAGCCTCGAACCTCTGGGCCTCCCTGCGCCCTCGCTCGACCTCCCTGCCCCCCCTCCCCCCCCCCTCTGGGCCTCCCTGCGCCCTCGCTCGACCTCCCTGCCCCCCCGCCCCCCCCCTGGCGGGCGCCCGCGCCCCGCGCGGCCCCGCAGGCCCCGCCCCGGGCCTCGCTCCCGGCGCCGGCTCGGCTGGGAGCGGCCACGGTCCGCTCCCGGGAGGCGCCCGCGCGCTCTTGTGCGCAGGGGGTGGTTCGGGTTGACCCAGGAGGGGGTCCAGCGACGAGGGGGTGGTGCAATAGATCTGGTGCGACAGATTCGTGGGGCTGCAACACATTTGAGGCGTGCAGTACGATTCGGGGCGCAAGCGTATTGCTGCATTTTTGCGTGCACTGCATCACATGCAGTACAGTGCGACACAAGTCTGTGGCGCAGTACATTTGCAATACACTTGCCCCAAGTCTATTGCACCCGCTCCCTCTCAGCTGGACCCCCTTTTGGGTCACCCAACATGCTACAGGGGGGAGGGGGAGGGGGAGAGGGGAGGGCTTCTCAGAAGCACTCCTGCTTTGCGGAAGGCGCGGGCCTTCTTCATAGATGCAGGGCTGGCGACTTCCAGGAAGCAGCTTCCTTCTAAGAGGCCTTCCACCCCTCTCCCCCTACCTTCTTTGTGCGAGCCGTCGTTTCTTGACGCTCTGCGTATCCCCACCAGCCCATCCAGAAACGATTTCCAGGGGAGTTGCTTGACTCGTGGAAGCACGCAGTTGCACAGCCGCCTTGGAAGCGTGTTGGAGGCTGCGCATAATACAGCGGGAACATGTGTTTAGTGAATGTCCCTATGCTACTGCGGCTTCGTTGATGTCCCCGCGATTTGTCTTACGAGCCTTCTTGAAACCTCCTGGGACTATCTTGGGGGTAGGAAGAGGAGGACGAGGAGGAGGAGGAGGCAGAGGAGGAGGAGGCAGAGGAGGAGGAGGAGGAGGAGGAGGAGGAGGAGGAGGAGGAGGAGGAGGAGGAGGAGGAGGGAGGAGGAGGAGGAGGAGGAGGAGGAGGAGGCGGAGGAGGAGGAGGAGGAGGAGGAGGAGGAGGAGGAGGAGGAGGAACGCGGCACGAGTTTTGAGCTTTCGAGGGGGGCCTCAATTCCCCAGGCTCCATAGCCAGCCAAAGAGGGGCCCCCTCTCTGCAGGGGGGGGCCTGCAAAGACCCTGCAGAGACCCTGCAATATATGGGAGTATTGGATACTTTTTTTTTTTTTTGCGTTCCTTTGCAAGCACGTCGTTTTCGGCACCGCCTGATTCCGTGGCCTTGCCTCCTCCTGGCCTTGCCGTGAGGCCGCTCTCCTTCTGTCCCCCCCTCTTTGTTAATTCAAGCTTCGCGCAACCCGCTTAGCTTCGACCGGAAGAGGTGGCGCTCTCGACCCGCGGATCAAACAAGTGTTGGATACTTTTTGGAGCGATCTTGGGCCCCATGGCTCAAGCAGAGGGGGGTAACGGATTCAGGCCCTTCACGGAGGCTCAAACATGCCGTCTTGGGGCGCTCTTGGGGCGCTCTTGGGCGTACTTGGGGCCCTCTTGGAGCCCTCTTGGGCCTCCCTTGGCATGGGGTCCTCTTGTGCCGTCTTGGGGCCATCATGATGCCTCAAAAGCCCATAGGAAGCGAAAAGCCGATAGCGCAACACAACATTGATTTCTTTCGGTTTGGGAGCCATTTTGACCTCTTGGGGAGGTCCCTGGAGGACTCGAAGGGCATTCGAAACCTTCTTGGTGCCGTCTTGAGGTCTCTTGGAGGCATGTCGGAGGCTATCTCGACCCATCTTGAAGCATCCTGGGCCATCTTGGAGGCCAACTTAGGCTCTCTGAGGCCCTCTTGGGGCCATCTTGGACCGAAAAGGCTCAGGGGAGGCGAGGCGCCCCGTCCAGGCCCAGGGGAGGGGGCAGGGGGAGGGGTAAACCCTTCCCCCGAGCAGGGTGAGAAGGAGCTGTTGGACGAAGGAAGACCAGGGTTCATTCACCGAGCATGTTCTTTGGGTGGAGGGCGAGGGGTGACATCTGCAATGCCGCTTCGATGGACTCTCGAGGCCTGCATCTGCAAAAGGTGAGTCACAAGACGGATTGATCTTCGAGGTGCAGAAGCCCAGATGGATTTCACCCTGAGCCCTCCACCCTGAGCCCTCCACCCTGAGCCCTCCACCCTGAGCTCTTCACCCTGAGCCCTCGACCCTGAGCCCTCCATCCTGAGCCCTCCACTCCAAGAAAGCGCTCAGGTTAAACCACCCTGCGCCCTGAGGGCTGGTGGGACTCGTGCTCTATGGCGCCGCTTGCTCTGCCCCCCGGCGGCCCTGCGAGGGCCGTGGGCCTGGCCGTCGGCTACAGACGTCGCCGTCGTCGTCTTCTTCCTCGTCGTCGTCGTCTTCTTCCTCGTCGTCGTGCGACCGTTGGTGCGGGCACGCTTCCAGACATGCTCGCGTCGTGAGAGCAAAAACAGTTTTTTGGCGCAGCCTTCGGCCTCTGGGGGCCCTCGCAGGGCCACGGGACCGTCAAGAGACAGCTCGGGATGAAACGCCTGCCCTGGGGAAAGGGTCGTGATTTCCAAGGACCACGTATGGAAACAATCAGGACATCGCATGTTTGTCAGGAGGAGAAAACACACACAGACACAACTAACCGTCGATTCTCCAGAAAGTACGGGAAAATATGGGCAGTGGGGGGGAAGACAGAGACCCAGAAAACCTGGGGAAGCAGGGGGAATCCTTTCCTTTGTGTGCACTTCTCCGTGCGTCCCGGGGCCCCTTCAGTCTGGACGGAGGCCCCCAGGATGCCTGAACGCGATGCGATGGCGGCGGCCTGCGGCCTGCGCGCCCCAGTTCGGCCCCCCCGCGGCCCCGAGGGCCGTGCGCCAGGCGGTCGCCCCCTGCCTCGGGGCCACTCCCGCGCGCAGCCCCAGGCCGTGGCAGCCCGCTCGGGGGGTGCCCACGGCGCCCCGTCCACCCGGCGTGCTGGCGCCGCGGCGAGAGTCACGACGGCGGGCGCCGGGCCGCCTTCGGCCCCCGGCCGGGGGCCCTCCGGGGGCCCCCGGGGGCGAAGGAGCAGGCCCCGTAGGGGAGCGAGTCGGAGATTCTTGGGGGCATCGTGGCTCGGCCACGCGCAGAGGGGAGCAGGGGGAGGGAGGAAGGCCTCTTGGAAGCACCTTCTTGGAAGGCGTGGGCCTTGCACCTATAGATAAGGCTGGCGCCTTCTGAGAAGCCTTCCCCCCTCCCTCCCCCCTCCCCCTCCCCCTCCCCCGTCCCCCGTCCCCTCCCGCTCCCCCTCCCTCCTCCGTAGCGTCTTCTACTCAAGTTGCGATCTGTGGAACCCCCGCCCCTCGAGAGGGGCACCAGCGCCGTCTTCTGTCCCCTGCTCCCGAGGCATCCCAAACAGCCGCGCGCAGGGACGTGTTTCGGCAACCATTACATTCCTTTCCCCGCAACGTGCAGTGCTGCCACCATGGGTCGCTCGCCTTCTACTTGCTGCTCTAAGCATGGCTGCAACGGTTGAGAATGGAGTGGCGAGCAGTGGTGTTCAGCATGCGGTTCTTCATTCTCGAAGGACACCAGTTTCAAGCAAAAGGATTGGAACAAAGGCAGTGCATCAAGGGTCTCTTCTTTCCGCACTGGTAGAGGACGTTCGCGCCCTCCCCCGCAGCCAGGCAATGAGGAGGCTTCCGCCCAAGATGGAGTTCCTGATCCAGTGGCGTTGGCGCAGGCGCAAGTTACGTTCTGGCGAAAGTGGGTTGGACTTGATAAGAAAGGATCTCTTGATGCGCTGGGGTATCCTAAACAAGCTAAGATGCAGGCTCTTCGTGGCAAAAGCTTGGATCAACAAACGCAGTCGCGCTCTGGTCAGACCAATACCATCGAGGGCAAGCTCGTCACATATGCCAATGAGCATGCCGACGTGGAGGGCAGTATCGAGAAACTGTCCGGGGCGTACAAACTCAAGCTACATGACCAAACAGCGGCTCGAGAAGAGCTTCACTCTCCCGAAATCCAGCGTGTAGTGGCCGTGTCGGCGGCGGCTCAGGAGGTCTCCGGGGATTCGGACGTCAGGGCGCTGCTGCATGCCGCCCTGTAGTCAAACATCCCAGAGGGCAGCGTCATCCCGCCCAGTCTCACGGCCAAAGTTCAGGAGGTCGGGAGTTTGTTCGCCCAGCTCCAGGAGCAGCATAATGCAGCGATGGCCAGGGAGGCGGCGCCTCCACAGGCTATCCCACGCGGCGGCACCGAGGGGGCGACCGCGGCTTTGTCCGCGAGCAGGCTCGGCGCTGCGCCGTGGCCAGCGCCCCCCACAGCCGCCGCCGTGCGAGGTGTGGACAGTGATGATCGAATGGCCGCAGAGGCCTTGTGAGTCAACAGGGGAGAGGATGAGGCAGCTGCGGCAATGGGCTTCGACGAGGACGTGCCGCGCAGTTTTGCAGGCCATCGGCGCGCAGCAGACAGCCCTTTCAAGTGGCCGACCTCATGTTTTCCAACGGTTCGGACGCCGATCGGGTCAAGAAGATCAGAGGCGCAGCGTGTGCCGCAACAGGCGCGGCCACCCAGGCCGAGACGCTGTCTGTTTAGCAAGCTCGGTCCCGTCACGTTTAATGGCAGCTGCTGGCCCACGTGCGAGCAGTTCCTCAAGTCAAAGTCTGCGCGTGACTGTTCCCTGATTTGCGTCCAGGAACACAAACTCCGAGATGGGGATGTAATATCGCAGCAAGTTCAATGGTGCCAATCACTGGGTCGGTTCGCGCATATTTTACCCGCAGCTCTCAACAGCAATTAGAAGACTGTAAGTGGAGTTGCGATTTTCATCAGAGCGAATTGCATCAATGGCGTTTCCAGCATGCTTTTTTTTTCCCAGCTGTCGATGGCAGCAGATTGGCTGGTCTACTTCTGGAGACCCCCATACTCCTCAGGTTTGGGCTCGTGTGCGCCTACCTCAGAGCAGCTGGCGGGCTCTGGGAGGGCAACCTTGGCTTGCTTGCCGCTGACGATTTCAACCTGTCCCCGGCCAGGATCGATGGTCTCGATTTCCTCCACAGGGCCTCCCCCAAGCTGCTTGCCCCTAAGATACCTACGTTTCGTGCCCTCAAAACCTAGTCGGTCTTGGATTATTTTCACATCGGCAATGCCTTCAGCGACTTTGTCGACGAGGCCCGCGCATGGGCCAGCTATCGGATGTTTCCCCGCAGGCCAGCGTGTC